ACACAATGTAGATCCTTACAAACAACCCAATTGCAACCGGCTGTGTCCAGATGACGAGCGTCGATCACCTCCATGAGGAGACCAGGATACTCTCAGTCAATCAACATAATGTGTTGTTGACTAGACAGTTCCTGCTGGTATGCTATCTGTTATCCTAACCATCACACAATGATAACAGGTCCACCTCCGCGACACATCCGCCGCACTTCAGGCGCTATCGTGATGTCAACAGATTGTCAATAACGAAAGCAATGAAATCCGTGCATCAACTGGCGGTCTCCGAAGCCATAGATAGCTACAGATGCAATAAATTCCTACAACAACATCCTCCTGCAATTTCAGAGAGTGAGAAGCTTTTTCCTGTCCGTCCTAGCCTACAAGTCTATTGCCTATGGACTTATGGCTAAAGCCAATAGGGGTGGCACAATTTCTCCGGCTACCCTCTTCAAATCCGATTTCCTAATAATTAATTAATACATTTTCCTTTTCCTCTACCGTTTTTTTCTCTCAACATTTTCAGAAAGAACTGAACCTGTTATTAAATTACAGTAAACTTTGCCTAAACTCACAAAAATTGGAATATACCCTTTATTGGGGGCTGTCCCAAAATATACTTCAATATTCATAATATTTGGTAAAAATATATTCTACCTTATGGGAACCTAAAATAGCAAATTACAATCAATTACGTTGAAAACCATGAGCAAAATACTGAAAATATTGGAGGGGTACCGTTATATGATATACCATAACGTGGACCGATATATCTCATTTTCAATACAAATCTAAGCTGTATCGTGACTTCATCGGGATCTCCGTTGAATATATCGAGATATTGCAAACGGAATGATAAAGCAATTTAATACATAATCCGCTTTATTGTGGAGGGTATAACAATTTGAATATTCGGAATCAAAATGGGAGAAGATGGTTATTTTAGCTATGCAAGATTTTTGAGAAAGCCTAGAATCAGATTGGGGTCTATTTTGGAGAAGAAAGCTAGATTATCTTTCAAATTGTTTGTGTCTTCTGCCACTCAGTGATGGACATCTACAGAGGATATGTTCAATTGTTTCTAGCTCTTCTTCGTACTCACATAGACGAAAGTAATCCTCTCCGCCTGAGTCCCATTTCGAAGTGAGAGATCTAATCTTGCAGTGATCTGTTATGATCCCCACAATGATAGCTTTTGAGATTCTGCAACCCGGTTCTCTCGACCATATGTTACCTCGCCGTAATGAAGTAGCCAATGGATGCACAAATCTCTCAATCGGAAGATTGGACTACTGCCCCCTCGAGCAAGATCGTCGGCTATCTTGTTCCCTTCTATGTTGCTATGTCCTGGAACCCAATATAAATTGACTAACTGCTATTGAGTTTGTAGATGCACGACTTCAAAGCCTTGAGGGCCGCCGGACTATCGACCTATGTAGTCACCGGTCGCGTCTTATCGGCAGTAAGTGTTTTGATTATCTCAACCGCTCTCGTGATTGCAAGGATTTCTGCTTGAACAACGCTACAGTAAACGCCTGCACCATTGCCTTCCTCCATCTTTGACCCGTCTGTGAAAAATGACAGACCTGGCTGATGTAAGGAGCAACTAGTCCAGGATTCCCTACTAGGAAAATATACTCTGATGTCATTAATGTCTCTATGACTTTAATTGATCCATATTTTTCACGATTTAATTCCACATTGTGAAAAATTGATTTTTAAGGCATTGTAAACAACGCAACACATGATAGTACGTCGGCAAATCGTGACAAATCAAAAAAGTTTACATGTTTTTTTATGAAAACCCTAATAATATTCGGTGAATGCGCGTCGTGGCGCTCCCTGGCGCCCAAATGTTAGGTTTTTGTGGCTGTAGCAGTATATATGAGTGTTGTTTGTTCATCCAATATCATGATAATTGAATGTCTGGTTTGATCCAAACTTTACAAATTGTAATATTTTTCCTAACCCACAATTTTAAGATGGGGTCTATAGGGCAAACATCTTGGGGAAATGGAAAACTTAATGTTTTGACATAGGGTCCGTTCAAATATATGAAAGAATTAATCACTTTTTCTGATTTCAATTTTGAACTGCAGTGCCCGTAGCATGGCATTTCGTTTTCTCGAATATAGATTCATTCCGTTTAGTCCTAGTCCTAAATTATATTACACTTGACATTAATTTTACACTAGTGTTTTGGAGACATTTTAACCTTCCCCACAGATTCAATGGAGTTATGCCATAGCTCCAATTTACCTGGACCAACCCGATTTTTTACTCCTTATTCCAGAGGTCAAGGTCGACACGGTTGCATTGCATATTAGAAGCCGATGTTCAGTGTGGTTTATAATACCGTTATACAAAATTCGTTCAAATGGTATTACGAAATTTGTATTTACAATTTTGGGCTCATACTTGTTATTATTGTGACAATATCGATTATGTTGAGTGTTCAATTGTTAATATTGATATTGTCTTATATTCTCTGGAGATGTTTTTGGTAAGTCCGTGTAAAAACATGAATTGGATTCAAAAATAGACAAACTGTAACTTCTATCAAAATTATAGGACTACCAAACAATTACTTCTGTCATTGTTATTCCATTAAATTGTTATTTAGGATTTAAAACAAATGCAATTTGTACGACGTATTTGTCCATAGTTATTTATTGTGAAATACAACATTTCATGACTAACAACAACAAAAATGTCAACAACTTGTCCACAATGGTGACAAATACTTGTCAATTACACGTTGGTGTAAAATATCAACAAACCATCTAATAGAATTTACACTTGTGAGTGATAATAACGTGACCCTTGAGATAACAAAATGGCAACACCTTGCCATATCTCGTAGATGAGTGACATTTTAAATATATATGTGAATATTAACTAGTTATAATTATTATGGACAGTGATGACTTGGGGGATGCTTTAAAAGGGGGGGAACATTTACAAGAACAACATGCACTCGTAAAATGTGATATTATGACAAAAAAAAAAAAAAAAAATATGTTTGTATTTTTTCGACATTTTTGATATTTGTAATAAATGAAAGAGTGGGTCGAGTCTGAGACCTCAAAATCGATCAACTCTTTCGTTTATATCTTTATATAAATATTTTTTGCAAAGCAGTTTTTCGCCCAACAAAACCCTGAATGTAAAATTGCATTCACTGGAAAATGTACCAATTCCAACTGAGCAACGTAGGAGACTAATTCTGTTATGATCCCCACAATGATTTTGATCTCTCATATTATGTGCCAACAACGAAGAAGTTCTTGGGCCATAGAATTCAGGCCAGATAGTTTTTGAGATTCTGCAACCAGGTTCTCTCGACCATCTGTTACCGACTACCTCGCCATACAACAATCAGATTTTTCCAATTAAATAGCCAATGGGTGGTTGCACGGATCGGAGGATTGGACGATTGTGAGCTCCCTCGAGTAAGCTCGTCGGCTATCTCGTTCCATTCTATGCCACTTTGTCCTAGAACCCAACATATCGTATATCATGAAGAGCATACTTGAAATCAAGAACTGCTTTTGAATTTACTTACTTTCGCAAGGATTTCTGCTTAAAAACGCTACAAAGATTGTTAAGTTTATATGAGTTGCATAGTCGACTTAGCATGTTTTAAAGTTCTTCACGTTTTTAGATACTACGGTCCTTAATTTATGTTCTCTGAAATTTTGGTAACCATCGACCAATCCAAACCAAAGTTATAAGCAAAAATGTACTTAGCATGGCCCGTAAGATATATGAAACATCCATACTTTGAGAGCTTCTACTGAAAAACTCACTTTTCAGACTTAGCATACTATGGTTCGGAGGCGTCGATATGTGGTACAAATGGTTAAAAATACTTAAACAATTTCATAATTATTTTCTTTTTTGTATATCTTCCTATTTTCTGAAAGCAATAAGTTTTTGAAATTGGAATCATGAAGACAATTCCTTAATTGATTTTGATGAAACATATGGAAGTTTTTGATTGGCTTTTTATATTACAATGAAGTGAATTAATAAATGAAATTAAAAATTGAATTAAAATTATAGCGTAAAATATTGCTGGCATGAATGTCAGTCAAGGTCATCTATTATCAACACATTGAACAGCAATCCCTAACAAAATCTTATCGCTTGTAATTTTGCATTTATGGTTTTTTTAAATACCCACTTTGCATTTTGGACCAAAAAAAACAAATGTTCCAATTATTTGTGTTCTCTTATCATTTTATTAATGTCTTATATTTTGGCATATTAAAACATCCATCCATATGTACATCAACAACAAACAAAAAATTTAATTTATATGTACATATAAACAACACTATCTGTTCACTTCACTTTCTATTATATTGTTGTGGATTATGCGGCGTTCCTCCAGCCAAGATCTCTTCGGTCGTTACTTTTTTATTATATATTATTTCGCTACGACACCCTTTATAATTTTTTTTCTGCGGAACATACTAAATGATTCATTTTTTTAATAGGACTACAAATTTCCCCGCAGTACTTTATCGAAACAGGAAGTACATTATAAAACACACACACACACTCGAACTGAAGCCAGTAGAAAATTTTTAAAATTAAATACCATTTGGAGTTTGCAAAGAAAGGTGTTAAAATTATATTAACCACGATGAATACACACTTGTTGTGTACCCTTGCAAACGGGATAAATATCCACCAAGACCATAAAAATTCCCCATTGTAGAAAATTAAATATATTGCATGTCCAAAAATAGAAAACAATTTTAATAAAGGAAATAATAATCTTATCAAAATAGCTTCCAACGTTATCTGTATGCTGGGCATAATAAAGATCTACACACATTTTTAAGAGAAGAAATAAAAATCTCAACCAATGCACCCACTCCCCCCATATTTACATACGCATTTTTTAATTTCATTTTTCTGTTTGCAGGTTAAACAACTGTCGCACCCACCTCGCCGACAAAACAACACTTTCATCATTTCCCCGTTAACGATAAATAATGAGATATGGCTGTTGATACTATAGATGACATCGATCCGAAATATGGTAAAAAATTAGCCTACGAACGAAACTTCAAAGCCCCGCTATGGCGTAAACGTTCCTGCACAGATGTACCATGCTTGTTGGTGTTTTTAGTCTTCCTGGGCGCATGGGCTTTTGTTGCCCAATATGCCTTCCGGAATGGTGACTTGAATAAATTGGTTGTGCCAACTGATTCATTTAATAAAAAATGCGGCATTGATTCCGGCGTTTTGGATAAGAAATATTTATTCTTTTTCAATTTGGATAAATGTTTGGACCCACTGGTACCCATCACAGGCTGTCCCACACCGCAAATATGTGTCCAACAATGTCCCCAAGAGACATTTATATGGGATGTTATGAAAAATCAATTATCCGATGCTGAATTGAAGGCCCGCATGATCTGCATCACCGATGCCGATAAGAATGCCCTACGGACCAAAGATGACATGCAAAAAGCCATCAATGAGGAGCGTTGTGCCAGATGGTATATCAAAAGTGCTCCATTCTTGAATCGTTGCATATGGGAATTCTCGCAGAAAACTTGCGAATATATTCCATCGTTCCTATTGCAACGCAGTGCAAGAGATGTCTCCAATGCAAATGATTTAACGACCAGCCATGTTGATCTCCACAATGAAGAACAGTTACAGGCATTGGCATTGACCATGTTCCCTGATGCTCAACCCCTAGTTGCCAAAAATACAGTTGATCCCAAGCTGACTGCCGTGGCCGAGGAAACGAATAGTCAATGTAGCCGTCGTGAAACTGTAATCAAGGAAAAAATGCTACAAACCGATACAAGACTTGCCAAATTTATTGGCAATATTGTTATACACTTTACCAATGGCACGCATGAAGCTCAACGTGTGGGAGAAAATGTTGTGGAGGATATTTTCAATTCCTATGTGGTGATATTGACAGCAATGCTGTGTACGTTGATAGCTTCGTTCATTTTTATTGCTCTAATGCGTTGGTTGGCCGCTCCCTTCCTTTGGACGTCGATATTTGGTGTGTTGGTGGGTTTGGCTGTGGCCATTTACTATTCCATTAAACAGTATACATTTTATCATCGCGAAGCAACAGTGCCACAGCATTCATTGAATCTAAATTCTGCTGTTAAAAATATATTACAGGTGAGTTTTCAAAGATATTAACTCGTTTGAGAAGTAATAAATGGATATGTCAAGATGTGAGCTTGAAGAAACCCAATGTGAAGCGAACTGACTCTGTGACACTCTAGACTTCCTCAAGACGGACCTAGGTGGCCAATTTCTTTCAAATGTTTATCAAGCATGATTTATTTATTTCTTTTCATATATTTTCAGGACGAACGTCTGTGGCTATATCTAAGCATCTTCCTTTGTGTATTCCTGGTCATACTATTACTGTTGCTAATAGTTCTGCGTAGCCGAATTAGCATTGCTGTTGCCCTCATCAAAGAGGGCAGCAAAGCTGTATCCAGTGTCAAATCGACTGTCTTTTTCCCCATATTTATATGGATTCTCTTTATAGCTGCAATTGTATATGCCCTTGGTGTTGGCTTATATTTGGGTTCGATTGGCAAAAACTCATTCCGAATGATACGACAATTGGATTCGAATAGTCTAACCGGTGTCTCACAAGAGAATTGCATATGTGATGGACCAGCTATTAATTACACCGTGGGAGCAGCATGTGACCCGACAACGTTCGAGCAAAATTGTTATATTGGCGATACAACATTGGTTGGCTTATTCCGGCAATCGCAGAGAGCACCCTGTGTCAAGACCATGTGTAGTTTTGTTGAAGTGGAACACACAACCCTGGTCAATTGGTTCATTGTTTTCAATGTATTCGGCTATTTGTGGTTGACTTTCTTCATTGATGGCTTCAGTGATATGGTATTGGCCTGTACATTTGCCACATGGTATTGGACCTTCAAGAAAAAGGATGTACCCTTCTTTACGCTGACAAAATCAATCTTCCAGACAACATTCTATCATTTGGGTACCTTGGCGTTTGGATCGCTCATTTTGGCCATATGTCGTTTGATACGTTTAATATTGGAATATATCGATAGGAAAATTAAAAAGTACGACAATGCCTTGACCCGAGCCATACTATGCTGTATGAAATGCTTCTTTTGGCTATTGGAATCATTTTTACGGTTCCTCAGCAAGAATGCCTATATAATGTGTGCCATACATGGTAAAAACTTTTGCAGCAGCGCCAAGGATGCTTTCAATTTGACAATGCGTAACTTCTTGCGAGTCGTTACATTGGACAAAGTCACCGATTTCTTGTTTTTCATGTCAAAGCTATTGATAACCGGTGCAGCTGGCGTAGCTACTTATTTCTTTTTGTTAAATAATCCATCCGTTGTACAATTGCATTATAATGCTGTACCCACAGCAATTGTGGCCATTTTGGCATTCCTCATCACCACAGTCTTCTTTAGTGTTTACTCGATGGCAGTGGATACCTTGTTCCTGTGCTTCCTTGAAGATATTGAAAGACACGATGGTTCGCCAGAGAAACCGTACTATATGTCCAAAACGCTAATGAAAATTTTGGGCAAACGTAACAAAACACCCAAGAGGAATCCATAAAACGAAAAAATAAAAAATTAAAAATACAAAATAAAGATGTATGAAACGAAATGGTGCTGATATATGTGTAGCTTAACTCCTCAAAGGAGTCAATACACGTGTGTATAATGTTTTCTAATAGGAAACACCCCCGACTTTCTGTATGTGAACGGAAATAAAAGACAATTTTAATGATGCAATATAAAAAATGATATATATTTTTAAAAAATAATTGGAAAAAGAATTATGTAAACGACTCATGTTGTAATGAAATGGAATTGAAAAGAATGAATAGGAATGCCTTTATTAAGAATTGATATAAAAAACGATTATATACAATATTCTTAACAAAAACATACACAACAATACTTACCAATATACCGAACCAATGTATAAGATTAGTTTTTTTATTCTGATTTTTTAATTATTACCTTAGTATGTAGTATTTAAATGTAAGTTAAATACAACAAAGTTTCTTCGAAATGAAACCATTGAAATGAAAAAAGCAATACCACTGAAAATGTTTAAGTAATATTAAAAATATACGTATTTAAATAATCATAATTAGATTGCATGCCAAATTTTGTTTTATTTTATTAAGAAAAACAATATATTTATATTATAATTCCAAAAGAATGAAATTATTTAATATATAAAGTTATTTATTTATACAAAAAAAACATATATATATAATATGTATTTCAAAAATATTATTAATTACGTTCGATTAACATTTATGTTAAATTTTCTATTTGAAAATGTTTGAAATTTCGATGAAAATTCGATTAATTCGATGAAAAATAAAATTTATCTACTATTTATGCTCAAAATTTAAATTCTAGTTTGATATTATTGCACTTTTAAAATACTGAAATCGAATATCCAAGTAATCAACATACTTCATCGTATGGACCTTACTGACCACAGAAGAAAGTCAATAGATCGGTTCCGGATCGAGAACATTTTGGACAATGATAAACAGCCTTATTCAATTCACCCTTTAAAGTTATTCTGAATCAGAATCGCAGCTATTTTTTTTCGCTTTTTCACTTTCCCGCTTTTGGGGAAAAATTAGTTATTCTGGATTTCCGGGAGTGGGAGAATGTGAGACATTTTGCGCGAACATTTTCGCAAATAAATTTAAAGGGAGTTAACTACGAAAAATGCAGTATTAAAGTATTAAATATTTTTAAGAATTTAATACTTTAATAAAACTTTAATGAATGAATTTTATAAATGATTGTATGCACATTTTTAACTCGAAACAACAAACAAATCAACCAAATATTACAACGGAATGTATAAAGGCAATAAGGAATATTTAAACCGAGTTTAAAAAATATTAAAAATTATGGAAAAACCACATAACCAAAATTGCCAAAATTTTACTATTTTCTTCGATAACAAAATGAAAATTCATTATCGTAGTAATAAGTAGAAGATTCTTGCAGTACGGGAACAGACCAAAAGCTACAAAAAATATTTTTTTTCTCAAATTTATTGTGTGCATAATTTGAAGGATGAAATAAAGGTGGGTGAGCATATTATAAAATCATTGGCCACTTTAAGAATTTGGAGAGATAAAATATGGAAATTAAATAAAAAGGCACACAATTATGTAGTGAAATAATAAACTGCGAATTAATTTAATTCAATCACAGATTTCTTCCCATTATTCGTTGTCTTTGACATCGTTCAATGCGGTTTTGTCATCATCAAAAATATTTATATTCGAACTCAAATATTTGTGCACATTACTATCATCACGTTTTCCTGAAAGATATTTTGAGATTTTATCCTGTTCTGATTGGTATTTCGCGATTAAAATGTTGACAGCAAGAGAATACTAAGTTTTGAATTCGCTTGCCTGTTAACCTTATGAATAAACATTGATTTGTGTAATAAAATGTCTTTGTAATGTAGAATAGGTGGTTGGTGGTACTTCATCATGCATCAGAAAGTTTGCTGGGTAATTTTTTATATTAGGTAAACTCTTAGTAATGTGTCGATAATGCTGTTCATTTAGGGATGTTAAGAAAAATCGCTGGTCGAAAGTCGATTTACTTATCCCTAATCATAATTTGCCTAAACCTCATTCGTAAACAACACGGTTTCCATTTAGTCTCTATCCCACCTCATTCGTAAACTTTCGGTTATACCATTTTGAGTTCATCTTTATCGGCCATTTTGTATTCTCCTCCCATTCGTTAGCAGGTGGAACGTTTTTCAATTTTTTCAGTCGTCGTTTTTATTTTAGCTCCGTTCCAAAACCTAAAAGAATCTACTAATTTTACAAGTTTTGCAACTTTTTACTCGAAAACCGTTCCTGAACCCATAAAACTGGTAAAGCATTGAATCAAATTTAAGAGAGCACAAAACAAAATGGCTTTCTCTTTGTAAACTTTTTGTTATGTTGATTTTGAAGTATTGCCATCTAATTTTGGCATATTTACTAGATTTGCGTTCCCAAACTTTTCAAATGATTTTGTACTCTGAGACTTGAAATGTTTCCCTTTTACTAGCTTTACTATTAAACAAGTGAAAAAGCGTTAAGTTCGGCCGGGCCGAACTTTGGATACCCTCCACCACAGGTATACTGACAGGTATTTGAAATGAAAAAGTGGACCGATATTTATAATTTTAAATAGAGATATTTGGTACCCAATATGAACCCACTGTACCAAATTGCAGCGAATTCGGTTGAAAAGCGCGCTCAAGAACCCCAAAATACCGAAATTGGGGGGTACCCTTATATGGGGGATATCCGAAAAAATTGACCTATATTTAAATTTTTTTGTGGAGAGATTTGGTACCTGCTCAAAATACTAAATTACAGCCAATTCGGTGAAAAATACGATAAAAACCCAAAAAATACTGAAAATTAGGAGGTACCGTTATATGGGGGCTACAAGAAAAAGTGGACCTATATTTATAATTTTTTGTGGATACATTTACTACAAATTCGCTTGAAAAACGCACTCAAGAACCCCAAAATACCGAAAATTGGGGGGTACCCTTATATGGGAGCTATGCCTAAACGTGGACCGATATATCCCATCTTCGAACTTGACCTGCCTGCAGACAAAAGACAACCCTATGCAAAATTTCAGCACCCTATCTCAATTCCTTCAGGAGATAGCGTGATTACAACAGACGGACGGACATGGCTAGATCGTCTTAGAATTTTACCCTGATCAAGAATATATATACTTTATAGGGTCGGAAATGAATATTTCGATGAGTTACAAACGGAATGACAAAATTAATATACCCTCCATACTATGGTGGAGGGTATAAAAAGTACTGGAACAGACCATTTGTTGGCGAAGGTTTGCGTACGACGTCGCTTGAGTCTTGGCAGAACGACGATTAACAAGCGAATTTTATGAAGGCTGGAGTCTTGGAGGCTTCCCACTGTTCTTTTGAATCTCTCTCTCTCTTTTATTATTTTTTTTTCGTTTTTCCATATATAGTTCCTTTGCTCCATATAGTTCCTTTGCTCTTTATAGTTCCTTTGCTCCATATAGTTCCTTTGCTCTTTATAGTTCCTTTGCTCCATACAGTTCCTTTGCTTCAAATAGTTCAAAAAAGGAACTGGATCAGAGAAAGGAATTATATTAATTAAAGAACTGGAACTAGTTCCGTTCGTTCCTTTCTCGGAATAGTTCCAATGAACTAGTTCGTTCCGGAACTACCAACTCTAGTTGATCGACCATGTGGTTCATAAATTATTTAAAGCGTTTCATAAAAGGTAAGTTTTTCCATTCAAATTGCTTTTCCTTAAACGTCGTATAAATTTCCATTTTTTGTTTAACTCTTCTAATTGATGATTCTGTGCAGGGGTACAGAACATGGCAAAATGTGGCCATGAAGCGAACCACAAAAAGGGACAATTTGACTCGAGGTCAACAGGAATTGTTTCTTTGTTGGATTCGTTTTAGACATTTGCATTACTGATAGAAGTCCGCAAATTCCCAAAAGGATTCCTAAGAATTCGTCCTTGAACATAACTAATATCACTTTTTTTCCACACTTTCAGAATACATAATGAATTCCAAAGGAATATATTTCAAATGGAAATATCACATTGGATATGGTTAAGACAAATCGATCAAGGTAAATTATTCATATTTATCAAAGTGTTTTGGTTAACAGGACGTACATAATTGAATTTACAAAGTACGTATTGTCCCAATTAAAATTTGCTTATGTAAAATTATGTTTTTTATTATTGATGAAACTGTGCGCAGGGGAACGAGCCTGGCAATATGTGGCCAAGAAGTGTATTGACTATGAATATCAATTAGACTTTAGGTCATAAAACAATTGATTTCTGGTTCAATGCACTTTAAAGCTAAACATGACTGAAATATTCCTCATAATATATTACAATTAAATTATAAATCCAACAATTACTAATTTAGTATTTTGACATTTTTACAGCATTATCTATGAGATGAGAAAAAATGAAGCAATCTGCATGTAAATGTGAAATGCTGAAGAAGGTGGATCTAATATGTATATAACACGCCAGCATCATTGACAAGGGGACACAGGAGATGAGTTCTTGTCTTAGCTTTTCGAAACCACAGAATATCTTCCACATACAGCACAACCTTATAAAATAAGAAATGTCGAGATAATAAAGTAATTTAAAAAGAAACCATTACATTTTTGAATGATTTTGAATGATATATGTTCTGTTCCCGTACTGCAAGAATCTACGAATTTGTACTATTTTTTTCGATATTATAAAAGAAAAATTGTTATCGTAGTAAACAATTGTTTGTTCTTGCAGGTTCTGGAACAGACCAATAGGTATTTGAGGGGTATTTAGTTTATATTAACTTTTTTTTCCTATTTTCCGGGATCAATGGATCAGTGTTCTGAAACGACATTTAAAAATGGCTAAAATACATAACCTCTAATATATGCAGACATAGGGAGAGATCTCGCTTGTGAAAAATTGTTTCTTTCTCGCCTTACTCTGAATGAATACGGAGAAGACAAAAATGCGATATGCGGGTTGGAATTTTCGAAAATGGTGTTTGAAAAAATATTTTGTAATTTAATGTGTGAAGTGTGTTTGCCACATTGTAATTTAAGTTGTAATGTGTGTTGCCCCAATGTAATTTAATTTTGTATTATTTTTAAATATTTTTGTAATTACTTTTTATTGACATTTAAACTTTGTAACAATATAAATGTGAAATATCAAGAATACGCTGTAAAACTGTTTTCTAATTAAAGGAAAATAAATTAAAGTTAGAAAATATGGCAACATACCATATGGGATGTGAAACAGCTGTTTATTGTTTTGATGCAATTTGGAGCAACAATTGCAACAAATTACAAATAAAAGAACATATTCTTATATGGCAAAGCCCGTATTGGACAATGTCAAAGACACAACGAATAATGCGAAGAAATCTGCGATTGATCGCAGATTATTATTTCACTACATAATTGTGTGATATTTTATTTAATTTCAATATTTTATCTCCCCAAATTCTTAAAGTGACGAATTATTTTATGAAATTCTCCTCCTACTTTATTTCGTCCTTCAAATCATGCACACGCTAAATTTGGAAGGAAAACTTTTTTGTAGCTTTATTATTATTCTTTCATAATTTTTATTTGAGTTTTTCAGGCAAATTTGGCTATGAGATTTTTCCATAATTTTTAATATTTTTATCACTTCTTGATTACGGGAACAGACCAAATATTCAACATTTACTCTAACAATCTATTACAAGTTATCGATAATTTATTTACCGGTTATATTTTCAAAATATCTACTTTCAGATCTCTACTTATTGTTCTCTTCGATTACCACAATCGAAAAGGGGCGCTTCATTCTTTTATTATTATTTCAAAAAATGGATCGTACAATTATTGCTCCTTACCGGGCGGAAGAAAAAGAACTTTCATTGATATTATACAATAAACTGCAAGGATTGACTCTGCTGCACCCACCTACCGATGATTTAAAAAAATGTCTGTCCGACGAAATGTTCGTAAAGCCCAACCAGCAGGCTTTCTTTCATGTCATGCACTATTTGTTCCGCATTCTTGATCCCAACGAATTTAGGAAGCGCTTCTACTGGCCCATTACCGACAAGAGATCCGAGTCTAATTTTCGTACCAGTACCGTTGAATATCTAAAGTATTTGAACGAAAAACATCAATTAAATTGGACCCATATTAAATCATATCTTGTGGTAATGCCTGGCGGCATGAAGTTCATATGTTTCCTGTTGGACTTCCTGCACTTCATAATGCAGGAGTTGATCAAGCAAAAAGAGAAACAGTTAAATGTAGATTCCACGCAATTTCGCGACTTGGTAACCGAAGAGAATTTACAGAAAATGTGTAAGCAAGATGCCGTGCTGAAAGAGATGGCGTCGGGATTTCTAACCAGTATTGATGTGATCAACAAACGTTATATGGAAAAGGTGGAATTGTTGACGCAACATTTAGATGAGCTGGCTGGAGAGACGGGATTAGCTGTGGATCTTCTAATCGATGATAAATTCCTTATTGATTTCGAAGATAACAATGCGCTATTGTTTGAGGAATGTTTTCGTGCCAGAACACAAAATATAGTGGCAATGGAACAGCATGTTCATGGTTTAAAGGAGAGCATCGATAGATTCTATTCAAAGGAAAGTGGATTCAAATACGAACCTCAAAAAGTGCGTCAGCAGTTGAGGAATATACGTGACAATTTCTCAATGGAGAATTTAAGTGATGGTAAGGTTATTTGTTTTGAAAACTTTATTAAAGAGTTTTTGGGTTGGGTGCCAAGATCCAAAACTATAGTCATGCCTGAACCTATCCCAAAGGGCCAAGAGCGATTCAAAAAACAAGAACATTAAGTCTGGCTAATTTGAATACAAACATTATTTTTTTTTATATTTTTATTAATTTTAATTCCTTTGCGTTCGTTTGATCTGCATATTCTTTTTTCAAAATATAAATTTGTTATTATGTCAAGTATGTAATTTAATTACTAATAGCCATGTTAACATATTTGGAGTTCTTTTCAAAACGAAGTTGATGCTAAATGAACAAATACAAAATTATTATAACAATTAATATAAATAATGAATTATTTAATTTTCCTTCTATATATTTTAAGTTTCTATACTTTGTGATGATAGTGTCAACATAAACACGTTGATAAAAGCTTTCAATAGCATTCATGAAACCATACAAAACGAATTATTCGCTGCGGACAAACGTCCTCGGGCTGGAATTGTTAAATCCAGACTTTCGGAGGTGGAAAAGGATTTGAGACAAATCGAAAATCAAATCACTGATTTTCTAATGATAATTAAGTCGCGTAGAAAGAAACGTCACGATGATATACCACGTACACCTGTACGACATGGTATTGTCCATGGGAATAGCGCGAGTGGCGGAAGTCATTTTGGCAGTGCTAAACGTAATTTGGAAAATACCTTATTATTGAAATATGTATCGACGCCACCAATAAAATTCGAAATGTCTGAAGGACAGCACGGCCCATCTCGCCTCTCCCTTATTGATTCTAAAGCGGCAGCGAATGCCAATGCTAGTACATTCAATAGTTTCCTAGGTAAGTAGGCATTCCTTTTTGCTAAGGATCATTTTTTCGGTATATTTTTTGTAATATTTTCCAAATTATAGCTCCAGCAAGAACTATACGTCAACCCAGGCTCAATTGCAGTCTTGCCGATCAGTCTGTTGTGGATTTAAACTCATCAATGAATCGATCAAAACTAATAGATCCCATGCAATTATTAAGATCCATAAACAAGGATAGCTCTAAAACTGTGACGACACCCAAATCAAATCTTTCTGGATTGGGCAGCCGGTGGAAGGAACGACAATCATTACTTGGCGATAGAGATGATGAAATTCCCACAATCATTGTGACAGATTCTCCTCGTAGCCACAAAACTCCACGTAGCTCCAGTAAGGCAGATCCAACTACTATAGCACGCCGCCAATCATTATTTTCCGATAAGGATGTGGCGGATATTTCAACCACTTCTACAGTAACAAAGAAATCCTCATCGTCATTTGCCACCAGCAGTGGTTCGCCCACTATAGTACAATCACCATTCACGCCCTTCAATTCAAACGAGCGTACACGTATCGCTCGTACATGGGATAACAATTCGTTTGGCAACAATTCATCGTCTTCGTCATGGTCTGGTATGAAGAAAATTTGCGCTTTGAAGAAGGTGCAGGACGCCTCAATGAATTTTGCAAATCTTAGCACTAGTCCGTCGGGACGTTTGGAGCCATTGGTTACTGCCCAGGATTTTAATATTCCGAAATTAAAACTAAATGATAACTCGCTAATTGATCACAATGTGAGTTTTGAAATATAACCAAAACGCCCAATATTAAAGTTAATAATTTTTTGTAGAATTCATTAACCGGTGAAATGTCAAAGGACGATTCTCGCCGCTCTCACCACAACAACATATCATTGGATACTGAGGATGAAAAGGACATTTCGGGAAGTACAAATGTATGCCAAAACTCGCTCAACTTTGTAGAACATTTGCCAGCGGGTGATGAAGATGCACTTTTCAATATAAGCGATAGTGTTTTGAAAGATGTTACAATGTAAAGAAGAAATACATATGTATGTAAATTATATATATTTATTTGCCTTAAATGAATCTCATATTTGTTTCTATATGATCATGTGTACGGTAATCCAAAAACATGAATAAAGAACTATATGAATATAATGATCATAATTTGGATTGCTTTCGAATCATCAGTTCGTTTTCGTATTGAAAAGAACACAGCAAACAATTTAGCGTTCCTTAAATTTTGATAGATTTGCAAAATAATTTCTTCTTGAAACATTGTTTACATCATATTCATCCTTCTTCAACTTATCCTTTGCTAACGAATATGAACAATAATGAAAAATTGTAACATTTTCCTCTGCATCTTCTTTGAAACTGTTTTTACTGTTCGCCTTCAATTTCAGCAGCTATTCCAGCTTATTGACCCGTTCTCCCAAGCAATTTATTGCCTCCAGGAGCTCATTTTAATTGCACAGGTTCTCTTGAATCAATTTCCTAACAAATCTTTCCTTATTATCGTTATTAACAAATTCTTGTGAAAACGAAATTTGTTTCAAACAATTTTGAATTTCTTTTTGAACCAATGTCGTCATACAAATACTTTTGTAATTTTCGTTACTTGGAATATTGATCTTCGATGTCGATCTACTGAATGACGCCATATCATTTAGAATATCTTCGGATAAAGGGATGAGGCGTTGCTTATTTCGTGTTCGCGTTAATTGGGAATATTTCATAACATTTAGGAATTTTGAAATAACTAGTAATTTTGATGTAAATGTTCGATTTTTTATAAATAAAAAATGGAATTATCAGAACGAAAAACCCATTTGGCGCCGCAGTCCTAAAAGAAAACAAGCCATGGTTTGTTCCCGTACCCAAGAAGTGGTAAAATTTTTAATATGAATAAAGAGAAAATGGAGTGCAAATTAGATTGAAGATATATTTAAACATAAATGGTCTGTTCCAGTACTTTTTTAATAATTAAACTAGTAAAATGGAAATATTACAAAATCGCTCTCAGAGTACAAAATAATTTGAAAAGTTCGGGAGCGCAAATATAGTAAACATGCCAAAATTAAAGGGCAATACTTCAAAATCAACATAACAGTCAATCCGAAGTTGATATTCCTGTTTACCAATTTTACTTGGACAAATTACATTAAATTAAAAAGTTTACAAAGAGAACGCCATTTTGTTTTGTGTTATCTTAAATTTAGTTCAATGTTTTACCAGTTTTTTTAATTTAATTTATCTTTATTTACTTTGTAATTGAAGCCAAATTACAATTTAATGTTTATGTTTACCAGTTTAAAACAAATTCTTATAAATATAATATAATAGATATTTTAAACATGTTTAAATCTGCATTACATCATGACTACTCAAATATATCCACTTTTAAACAAGTTATTATAAATAAATGATGTTAACTAATAAAACATTATGAAAGTAATTATGCAGATGCATTTTAAAAAACTTCGTGACATCATGGCTAAAAATTGCAAATCTTGTAAAATTAGTAGATTCTTTTAGGTTATGGAACGGAACTCTTATTAATGCATCAAGATTCGCCTCTTACACGACCTGTTTATTGGGCCATGCAACTGATCAAGTTTACAATGTCGTAAAATGTTTTACTGTTTCATAACTTTTTTTTTTATAAATTTCCCATAAACTATAGGATTCTTGAGGGTTCTAAATTTTATTTTCTGGCGGAAAAAATAAAACTCCTCAAATGACTTTTATTTTTAACAGAAAATATAACAATAATATTTAATAGTTTAAAATCAATCTTCACATGGGTATTGAGGTACACTATTGGTCTGTTCCCAAGAATCTACTATTTTTTTTACTACGATAACCTTTTTTCCTCTATGATATCGTAAAAAATAGTAGATTCTTGCAGTATGGGAACAAACCAAATATGACACTATAGGTGTCATAACATGCCCCTGCTCAAAACTCATTGTGTGTACACCCCTTCGTATTATCTCAACGGGATCACTGTGCATTGTCGATTTCCTTGTTTGCGGCAAATACAAACAACTAATCGATTAATTATGTTTTTATCGTTATTCAACGATTTCTCAAACATATCGATTGTTCGAAAATCAACTACGGGATAGATTTTTTTTCATTTGCAAATTTTTGTCTAATTGCAAGAAAGGGTGAGTGTGTTTTTCCGCATCGATTTTTTTTATAAATTTAGTGGATTATTTTGCAATAATTTACAGTAATTCAAATAAGCAACACAATTACAATTAAATAAAAACAAATATATTCGGACAAACAAATCATTATGGAAAATAACTACATCTGACAAAACTGTATTGTGATTAATCGGCTATTAATCTATTGATTTTTCTCTGTGATCGCTGCTGCTGATGTATACGTAGTCGTCGTTGTCGTGAGTGTAAATTACATACGTTTTTCTTCGTGTCATTGTTGGTATACCAAACATCATACGAAAATCAACAAACAAGATATTAATAAAATCGGACGTAGAGTGATTAGGGGAAGAAATCTGGGAATCTGGAATACGACGGTGGTACGGTATGGTGCAAATGATGTATTTGTAGTTACTGTTGTGTTCCCAAGTGCATCATCGGCTTGTCTACAGTGTGAATCATTTAGGTTCAGGGGAAGAAGTCTTAAAAATACGAGACACAAAAGAAACGTTTCTTTTTCCATATTGTCATCTAGTTAATGAAATAAAGTGAATGAATTTTATTGCCTTGCTGATAAGTTGGTGGTCCAACAAATCCGAGATAAGCATAGAAATAAATAAATAATAATAAAAAAAAAAACAATACTCCCCCAAAAGTAAATTTGTATCTAGTAAAACGTCAACAAATATGCTGGTTGGTTGGTCGGTCGGTCTGGTGTTTTAAGTGATTTGGAACAATGAACAAAATAATCGCTTGACATGTAATATTTATATATGTATGCTGTCGTCATCATTATATATTTTCATATTTTGTTGTAGATCTTTCTGGGAAATTAATTTATTAAAATCCCCAATGATATTGTGTTGGACTATTATGATTTTAATTAAGTCTTGTTTATTTGGAATTATGAACACAATGCTGCACATACGGAATATGGGATGAAATGCGACTAAGGAACACAAAATAACAAATTAGAACCAATTCGATTGAAAAACTTACCAAAAATACCGAATAATGGGGGTAACGTTATATGGGGACAAGTCCGAAACATGGACCAATTTTTAAACATTTTAAGGATATTTTGCACTTAATGAGAGTCACAAATATAAAATTACAGTCAAATCGTTTGAAAAATCAACAAAAATTCAAAAATATTCGGGATAACGTTATATGGAGGTACCCATAAATGTGGACCAATATTGGGAACTTTTTGTAGGAAAGTGTGCTACCCCATAAGTCAAATACATACAGTCAGCCGAAAAATTGTGTCCAAAATCCTCAAAATAAAAATTGGACTTAGAGTTATGTATTTTACCATGCTGTTAAAAATGCACTAAAGCAATAAGTGTTGTCTGTTAGCCATAAGTGTTGTCAGGAAATAGAAGAAAGTCGATGAAGGTGGCCACCTGGAATTAAAAAAGTATTGTTCTGTAGACGTTAGGGATTCAAATCGATCGTATTTGTAGTAAATTCCGATAACGTTATACCCCGACACACTATGTATTATTCCAAAATGCCCTTGAAATAGTCTTGTTTCAAAAACTCTCTTGTTTGAAACTCTTTTGATTTTAATTCAATGTGAATACAAAGGTAGCTTACTAAGCCCATTATTAAGATATTATCTATGCAAAAATGCAAACCACAGCTCGTCCACACTCCGTTCCAACGATAACCATCTCACAACGTTGAACTCTTAAATGGGTACTTTTTTACTCCTATGACAATTTGTAGATCAGTACGAACTGAGGACGAGAAATCACTGATTTATTCTGTGATACATTATTTTTTCAATCTCTGGAAATTACCTATTTAATCGGAGTTCTGTATTTGTTACTAACTTTAGTTTTGTCCATGCAAAAATTGGGACAATTCCCTTATCCATAAATTATTATTTTTCATAATGAATGTTTCATTAATGCTTTTTTAAGTGAATAAAATACCTGATCTAAAAGTAAAAAAAACCAACAGGATATCTTTATTTTTGAAAAAGTTATGCGGCATTTTTTTAACCTTGCAATTTTATTTGCTTTAGTTTTGGTCACCAGTGTATGTCCAGGTTAAAAATCTACCTACCCCAGGCTCTTTTCATCAACCTAAGTGATGACTATATATTGGTATTGCGAAGTTCCTATAATTTACCAGTGATTATTATTGTTCTCGAGAAAGACATACAAATCCATTTATCATAACATTTATAAATCTTTATGGACCCGATTAAAACTCCCGATCATTACACATTGCTTCTTAGATTTGAAAATTCTATTATAGTTTTGTGTATAAACATTAATTTTATCGATTCACGAATATTCCTAGTCGTGCTAATCTAATCAGTCTCAAAAACCACTATCACGTTTTCCTGCCAATTTGGTTCTTATAGATTGTTTATACGATACAAAATAATACGTCATTTATTTTGGATGACACTTCATTATGACCAATAATCATAGTAGGCTACTTTGATTAGTGGGATACTAATCAAGGGTCTGTGCCTATGAGTCCGAAACAAATAATGTCGTGAAAATGAATTAAAAAACGATCGTGGAGGATACGAAGACATTAATGCACAAAAACTATTTTTTTTAGAAGAAACACTTCCCCTGTTTCTATTTCTACGATTAAACGAGGGGAATTGTTCCTCCTAAGTAACGTTAATTCTGAGGGGACACTAACATTTATGTCCATGAAATTATTGTGGATCATGACAATGTGCATAATTCAGGGTCTGTTGGACCGGTCATAACGTGAATTTGATGGTTTATCGCCGTACAATCCGCACATCAGTTTAAAAATCGCCTGAAGGTGCTGTTTTTGAGGTGTCTCTATCGCCAAATAAAATAAATAATATTCAATCAAAAAATCTACATTATGTTCCATATTGGGTCAAAGTACGAAACTTTAGTGAAAAATGATTAAAGCGCACCGTAAAATATATATCTACAAAAAATAAGAAAATACCCTCCCATACAGCTCCATAGCAATTTCCATATAAAGTATGTAGATATATGCACTATTCAACAAGAATCATGTCGACATACATTTGGCGAAAGTATTTCATGTTCATACATGAAATGAACTGGAATGTTGTTGGCCTTCTCAGAGACTTAAAGAAAACTAAAGGAAGGATGGTGAAACAAAAAAGAACAAACTGAGAACAAGCACACAAAAATTCAAATATACTCGTATGTATATAATTTACGACGACGACCAGAGTAGTAGGAAATAAAGACTGATGATGATGGTTTGGTGGTGGTACTTGTGGAGATGCGGTGGAATGGTAACATAATATTAGCCACAATGTTTTTTTCGAAATCTAATCTATGTTCTAAGATGCCAAAGAATGTTGTTGCTGTTGCTTTAGCTCCCCATGACATAATATGTGGCACCACTGCTACGTGCTACGTCGCAATGTCTATTCGCAGGGAAATAGTTTCCCTATGTAGCACGTGTTGAAACTTAACTGTGGTCGTCCCATATTTATTTTAACTTGTTGTCGTTGTTTTTGTTCAAATTTAAGTAAATTAACTACTACTAGTACTACTGGATGCTAGAGAAATTAAAATATAAAAAAACCATGACACACATCATGACATCCATCCAATCAAGTCCTTTGAGAATTGTATATAAAACACAGATGTTGACTTATATTTCAGTTCATTTTTCTAATGGCTGTCGGCAGTGGCGGTTCTGTTTCAAAATGTGATACCTAAAGTAAATATGAAATAAAATACATTGGATACAAATACACATACGACAGCATATTTGCTGCTAGTGTACTAACAATCGAAATGAATAATATTTTGTGTGCATATTTAAAAAAATGACAGCATATTTGCTGCTAGTGTACTAACAATCGAAATGAATAATATTTTGTGTGCATATTTAAAAAAATTAGTATTTTTACGTATTAAATAATCTGACAAAAATATATTGAGATAGCAAAACAATGTAATTAATCAATGAACTGCATTTTATTTAAATATGTATATCTGAAGTGGCAAAAATATAAACAAAGAAAATAAATTTATGAATTTTGTGCGCTATATTGATAAGTTATCAGACTAAATCAATTATCAGATATATGATGATATGATTCAGTATTTTTAAAATATTTTGAAATAATATTGTTGTGAGACGGAATATTTTGTTTTTCCCAACCTAAGGTAGCTCTGGGAGTTTTTAAAAATTTAAGGTTAAACATATTTACATAATACTTACCAATTTTTGCTAGTCGAAGTACAACAAACAAACAAAACAAATTCGTTAAAATGTTACCCATTTTTCTTAGTTCAATTTGTGAACCTCAAACGAAAAAAGCGCCTGGATAAGCATTATCCACTTATACAATGCCTGTGGAGTCCCTCCCCCCAAAAAGCCAAAACAAACACAAATTCTTCGACTGATGATGGTGTGGCTGCCTTAGTACCCAGTCTTAAATGTCACAACTGCAAATGCTCGAAATATGGGCGCCTCGATGAGCATTAGATTAAGTTACCATGTCTTTGGTGAATCTTGAACAAACCAGGTATGACATTGGAGAAACGCGTAGAACTAAGCGACTATGTATCACCAGTCCTGAGATTTGACGATGTAGATGTCGTTATTCCTATTAGAGACGACTGGAAACGGAGTAATCCTCCTCTGGACGGTCTGGCTTTCCATACAGACGGACGATTTGGAAGGCAGCGGAATTGATAAAAAGTCTGGATGCAGAGATCGGTGAACCGGTGACTTTCTTTGTGGATAGTCAAGCGGTTCTTAAAGCCTTCAAATCGGAGGGCGTCCTCAAGTGTAGCACAATTTTGAAAGAACTTACATACAGCTATCGGTTGTTTTGGGTACCAGGACACCGTGACATCATGGGTAATGAAAGAGCAGACGAATTAGCCAGGATCTACAGATATAGCAATTGATGGTTCAATCAAACCATCCATATGTTATCTTTATCGGAACCGTTTTTCGACGAAAGAGCCTATGAACTTTGGCACAACGAACCTAGGTGCATTGTGTCAAATTCCATTTGGTCAACTCTGTAAGGCTGGAAATTCGTACTAGAGTGGTACGAAAAGCACTAAACGTGATTCTATTTGTATTTGGCGAAACTGTAGAGCTAGAACTCTTAAATTTTAAATGAGGGTCACCTATGGAGTGTAGAATAGATATAGAAAATGTTTTTTTTTTTTTACATTCGAACTATAAGAATACGAAAAGTACTAAAATTTACTAAATTTGTACAACTTCGTAGCATGAGATGTAGGATCTATATAAGGAGATCGTTTTGAAAACGTGTACTCATGTGTACGAAAAGTACTACATGGTACTATATTTGGTACAAATTTAATTCGGAGGTACAAATCGAGCTGGAATCCTGAAATTAACATTACCGTCGGATTGTGATATGTACGTAGTTTTGAACAAATGCACTTTACGGACACCTCTCAGATAATTTTGAAATTTTTACCATAGGTAGCCCTTCTGATGCTGATTACAGCAACATAAATTTTTTCGTGGGGAAATCAGTACTTCCCGACATATGGGTTTCCAAAGTTCAAAAAATACCCCCACTTTTTATTAAATATATTTAAGAATACCACTTCGAAACATTTAAATTTCTTACAACACATAGTCCTTTTGGAGCTGATTACAACCTAATTATTTTTTTTTTTTTTTGGAGAACTTCGTACTTCCGGAATAATTTCAATTTTTTTCTAAATAGCAGGCCTTCGGCAGGGGATTTAAGACTTTCTCCTATGGACAGGTGGAAAATTGGGCTACGCGAGCAGAATTCTCTTTTAATTTCAATTTTTTTTTTCTAAATAGCCGTCCTTCGGCCGTGGATTTGAGACTTTCTCCTATGGACAGGTAGAAAATTGGGCTACGCGAGCAGAATTCTCTTTTAATTTCAATTTTTTCGAAATAGCCGGCCTTCGGGCGGGGATTTAAAACTTTCTCCTATGGACAGGTGGAAAATTGGGCTACGCGAGCAGAATTCTCTTTAAATTTCAATTTTTTCCTAAATAGTCGGCCTTCGGCCGGCGATTTAAAACTTTCTCCTATGGACAGGTGGAAAATTGGGCTACGCGAGCAGAATTCTCTTTTAATTTCAATTTTTTCTAAATAGCCGGACTTCTGCCGGGGATTTAAGACTTTATCCTATGGACAGGTGGAAAATTGGGTGGAAAATCCGAGTGTCCCTAAAGGAAAAAATCCTGAAATCAAACAAATAACAATATAAGCTTATTTTTAAAATTTTGGAACTCCATATTTCCGGAAGTACGAAGTTCCCCCCAAAAAAAATTATGTGGTTGTAATCAGCTCCAAAAGGACTATGTGTTGTAAAAAAACTAAACGTTTCGGAGTGGTATTCTTAAATATGTTTAATAACAAGAGGGGGTATTTTTTGAACTTTGGAACCCCATATCTCGGGAAGTACTGATTTCCCCCCCGAAAAAAATTGTTTTGCTGTAATCAGCATCAGAAGGGCTACCTATGATAAAAATTTCAAAATGATCTGAGAGGTGTCCGTAAAGTGCATTTAAGCCTGAAAAATTTGTACTTATGCGTACGAAAAGTACTAAATCGTACTATAATTGGTACAATTTGGATTTGGGTGAACCGATAAAGCGGGAACAATGAAATTTGGAGTCAGGATTCAGTTTAACAAATTAATACTTATGGGTACTAAATTTGGTACAATTTAAATTTGAAGTAGACCGTTAGAGCTGTAATCCTAAAATTTAAAGTTAGGACCATTGATGGGGTGTGAGATTGAGATATGTAGGAAGTTTTGGAAATTTGTACTACATTTAGTACAATTTAAATTGTGGGTGAAGCGTTAGAGTTGGAATCCTGAAACTTGGATTTAGGATTACTGATGATGATTGAGATACGAATTGAGGGTGAACCGATAGAGTTGGAATCCTTAAACTTCATTCATATTGGTTCCCGACCGATGTCTAATATTTTATTTGGAGATCAGTTATTAAAACAGCTGCTCATGCCGACATTGGTCTTATCCTAATTGCATTTTTTGATATACAATTCTGTGTATTTCAAAATTTTCCATTATAATTTACTGTTGCATTTCATTTCATTGAAGGATAAGATTAGGGAGAAAAAAAAACGAAAATTTCAACAATCAAAACATATTTACATTGCATTTCTACATCTTATTAAAAATGTCTAAGATTTGTTTGTAAAACATATCTTAAAAGGATGAGCTTAAGGCTTAGTTCTTTTTGATGTGCGGAGGTAAACCTAATGAGAGAAACACACGCATTATGAACAAACTACTATCCTATCACATACGTTGTTGTTGTCGTTAAATAAAGGTTGTTTTTTGGGGGATAAACTGTTCACCCGCAGATAATTGAGACACACAGCCCATGGTAAATTGTGCGCAGAAGCTGGTTTCGTTTTTTTTTTACATGAAATACTACCAGAGAAACTTATTATGTAGTTGAATAGTAGACGCTTACACGTTAAGTTCATTGTGAGTATAATGGGTGGTAAAAAAATACATATATAGGTGAATAATTTTAATATTGTGGCTGTTGAAAGAAAAAAAAAACAAGTGAAAAAGTTATGAAAAGTGCTTAGAAATAAAAATCTGTGATAATTTGTACAAAATTATCTAAAGGGAAATATCGAAAAATTTGTATGAAAAATGTAGTAGTTAATTAATTTTACTAACGAAACTGTGTCAACATTTATATCCTTTTTTATTTTTATTAGCGATTAATATGTCTGAGGGAATATTGCAATGAATTCCAATTTGAAAAAGAAATACTGTAATTAAAAATGCCTATATTATATATAATTAATTGGAATCAATTCTAAATACATTTATTTATCATAATAATTATACTAAACATTGGTTAATCTCCTTTCATTTTCTTTTACAGATATTTTATTTTAATTTAGTTCTCACATAATCAGACAGAACCCAAAAGCTTGCTGATAATACGAAGGGGAAGAAAAGGAGAAACGAAAAGGAGTCCTAGTTGTAACAACGTTGTTAGTGAAGAACGCGTCATTTCAAAATGGGTTCTCTGTTTCGCAGTGAGGAAATGACGCTTTGTCAGTTGTTTCTGCAAAGTGAGGCAGCCTATGCCTGTGTCTCAGAATTGGGTGAATTGGGATTAGTTCAATTTAGAGATGTAAGTGAAAAAAAAAAAATAGAATAAAAAATGTTAATTAAATTTGTACATTAAATATTGCAGCTAAATCCTGATGTTAATGCTTTCCAACGGAAATTTGTGAACGAGGTAAGGCGTTGCGATGAAATGGAACGTAAATTACGTTATCTGGAGAAGGAAATTAAAAAGGATGGCATCCCCATGTTAGACACAGGAGAAAGTCCAGAGGCACCACAGCCCAGAGAAATGATTGATTTGGAGGTATTTTGTTAGACAATCAGTGACAGTTTTCCTGTTTTACTCAAAAATATTTTTCATAGGCAACCTTTGAAAAATTGGAAAATGAATTGCGTGAAGTCAATCAAAATGCTGAGGCATTGAAACGTAATTTCTTGGAGTTGACCGAATTAAAACATATTCTCCGTAAAACTCAAGTTTTCTTTGATGAGGTAAGTCCGAATTAATTTTTTCTAACTATTTGTGACATAATTCTTAATTAAAAAATCCAATTTGTAAAGACAAAAAAAGAAGATTGTACAAAACCAAAACTTTATTGTATATAACAAAAAAAAAATCTAATGAAATGTAATTTTAACCTTTTGACAACACAACTGAGGGATGCACTTAATTGTTGTAATAATTTCTAATTATCTTTTGTGTAGTTTTGTTGTTGAGATTGTTTTCTTTTTTAATTTTTAAAATGGCTATTGTTGGAATTTATTTTTTCTTATTTGGTTGTGATTTTTTCGGTTAATTTGTTTTTGCTATTATTTTTGGTAATATTCTTTTTAATTTGGTCTGGGTTTGTAAGACAAGAAAAGGGTAAACGGCGTTCAGCATGATTATAAACACAAAATGAAAAAAAGAAAAACAGCCAACTACAATATCAACAAAAAAACCTAAAAAAAATCTATCTTTGACTTTTAATAATTTAGCTGCTTTTTTCCAAACTTCTTAAGAAATGATTTTTTAGTTTGTTTATTGTATTATGTTTTTTTACAAAGAAAACCACCTACCACAGAATTGGGAAAGAAAAAAATCGGTGTATGTTTTTTGAAAAAAGAACTATTCAAAAATTTTTGAACACTTGAAATATGTGCATTTTTTTATAATTCTTCTAACAACAGAAATTGTATTTTCTCCTATTCATCACATTATACAACTACACTACTGTAAAGGCTCTTATTATTTGTCGTTTCCTTTTCATTATTATTTAACAATTGGTTATTGCTATCCTCCTCCTCTGTCTATAACTTTTGAACATATTCTTCTCTATCGCCTATCCCCAGTACACTTACATGTAATATTGTTATATATAAATGAAAAGTTCTATATATGTAAATGGTGTATAAAAGAGAATATTGTTATATAGATGAGGCTAGACACCTTATTGTAACTATGTTGTACGAGTAGGCTAATACGTGTATATTCTTGTCTTAAAAGAAGTATAACTTTTATTACACTGTGTGACAAATTTAAGTTGTTTGATAATTACCGGGAAATTCCAACAGATTATGAAAGAGGGAATAAAAAAGAAGACACGTGTATCGGCGTTTTGAAAGTTTACGTGTGGGGTAACATAAGAAGTGGGGGCGATATTCCCCCTTTTCAGGTATAGTGTCTTCGGCAATATTACTGATAAAATACCCTCAACCGACTCATTGAAGGGGTCTTTTCGGTCCCCTTTTCCAGAAGTGATTGAAAACTCATTCAAACTGGTTTAACGGTGCTCTGAATATTCTACAGAAATGTTCGTCATAATGTTTTACTATAAGTCTCAGAATAGACTAAAACAAAAAATATTTTAGGGTTATTACTAGTTTTTACCCATTTTCCCAAAGATGTCGTTTTAGAAGGATGGTATAAGAAACAAAAATATTCTCCGTCAATTTTTAGCATAAGTCACTGAACAAGAGAAATCTGTATATATAATGTATATACCGAATATATAGTCATACATTTTGAACAAAAAATTCAAAATGTTTGTGTATTTTTTCAAAGACATTTCCCAGTACTTTTTTCGACTAAGCGCACTAACGTGACATGAAACATATTTTTTAAGTCTCTGAACTGAACGTAATACTCATGGAGGCGCCCTTGTACCACTGAGGTTCGGTTTTAATATAATCCATATACACCGTGTAGGAGACTAGGAAACCATGGCGTTTGATAGATTATACTCTGTCATTTCCTCTGAGATGATCATTATCATGAAGCAAAAATCACCATACTGACCACGTACCGATTTTTTATTTAAGGTTATATGCTATAATTTTTATTTCATCTTCACCAGGAGATTTGTAGTGTGAGAAGCTACTCATGTAGACATTGAAATTATTTATTTTTTATTCTGCCTTTTAATTCGCTCTTCAAGGACGATATCCGTTCAATTTGGGGTTCTACATTTTTTTACTGGGTATTCTTGCAGGTTGTGGATCCAAGAGACAATATTGTTCTGTTATATATCCTCCTGCGTGATTGATGAAGGCAGTTTGTAAATTTTGAGAGTATTGAACTAATTACGCTCTTATAGATTAGACTATGCTGCAAAATATAATAGGGAAAATCCCTGTATTTTTATAAAAACTATACATTTTTCTTTTAAAATAACGTAAATAAAAAAATAATCGTATTTTCACATGCAAAGAAATACATCTGTAATTTTGTTTTGAGCTTACTCCTTAACAAAAATATATTAAAAAATAATATGCTGTACAGTCGTCGTGCTATATATCCTATCTGGTTAATGCAAATTATGTTTCTTAGTTTGTCTTTTATTTTTCTTTGTTTTTTTAATTCATTCATACGTTTTTACTGATTTTCTTTGGTTAAATTTTATACTTTATTTTTTTATATCATTTTCGGTTTGTAATCGAAAACAAACAAACAAAAAACAATTCGTTTCTGTTTATTATGAAATTTCTACAAACAAACGGTGCAATTTCAAAATTTGCTATTGCCAACTGTAATCCTGCAATCCAAATGTCCTGCAACTTCCCCATAACACCCCCCATCCAAACCATAACCATGGCGTTGTTATTGCATATGTATGTTTGGTTTGTGATACCCACTCATCCTCCGCCCTATACCCCATCCCAACTATCCCATTGCATTGTTTTCCCCTACCTACCCGAAAAAAAAACGGTTGTGTTGCCAGGCGGTCCCGACTATATCATATAATACAACATCCCACTATAAATCACGACGTTACCGACAGATGGCCGATAATCAAAATGAAGATGAACAGGCACAGTTACTGGGAGAAGATGCCGGCGTACGGGCCAGCCAACCAGGACAAAATTTAAAATTGGGGTAAATATATTTAAATTGACAATTTTTCAAAGAAAATCAGAAGCATTTTTATTTAAAAGATGAAATCAAATGAATGTAATTGAAAACATTACTATTTCAAACGTTTTATTATTATTTCCGTTTATTTTGTAAATCGTTAGTCGTGCTTTCGCTCTCCACGTCTCTGTCTCTCATCATACAGTCATCATAACAATAATAATTCTAATCGCTCAGTTTGATTATTCTTATTTAAAACAAAAAATATTATATGTAAATGAAATATATGAAGAAAAATGCACATATTTAATTAAATGCGTATTTGTTGAGGTTATGGGAAGCAATCCTGCCAAGTGGTTGAATATTGATTGCCTTCCTTGATTTTTAATTGTGGCATAGAAATAAGGCAAAAATTTTCAACCCATGTCAATGCGAGTGATTGTTATCCCATAGCCCATAATCCCGTTGCCTAAAGGAATTAATAATTTAGCAGTTTTCTTTTAGAGAATTTGTCATATATAGTGTCTTTGTTTTTGTCATCAGCAATATTATACGTTTGGATTTAAATTATGGCAGCGGATGTCAACACCTCTCTCTTGTGTTCCCTAGATTATGGGCATTATCTTCATTACTACTGGTGGTGGGTTGTTTTAATGTATTGTGGCATACTTTTAATCTGGTTATGGTTCTATATATGTTATGCAGCCCCTTAAATGTTTTCTGTGTATTTAATTTCCAAGTTCCGTTTTATAAAACTCACAACAAAACCATTTAGATTTAGTACCGAAAAAACATAAAACAAAAATAGTTATTATAGTTACATAAATATTGTATTTGTGATCACCTTATTTATTACATATATACAATTTTGTTTTCAAATGTAAAAAACAACAACTACAACGACACTTTAATATGACAGCAAGAAGGTGGTCTTAATACCACAACCGAATCGATGACACGTGCCTTAATAACCGATGAAGTTCGCACTGGTCATTCCATGGGTCCTGTACAATTAGGGTATGTATTCCCCCCTCGCCAATCTAAGTTTTGCTAGTGCGTTGTGAACGTTCAAAAAAAAAAAATGTTTTACTAACAACAACAATTACTTCTTAAGTATAGGTTAATAACATAGAAGAAGAAGAATTGGCAAAAAATACATTTTTTAAAATTCAATATTAAAACGAAATAAGCTTTTTCTGGTTTTATCTAAATTTCTGAATTGTTTATTTATTTTATTTTTTATTATATGTAACTGCTTCCATTAGATTTATGGAAAAATCAAACGAGCGTGAAGATTATTATCCATGGTTGGTACCACCAGCGTTACATTCTTATTCATATTAGTTCCTTCCAAATATAAATCACATTCACATTTGGTTTTTTTAATTTTTTGTTTTCGATTTTCTGTAGTGTGTTTGTGTGTGTGCTATTAATTTCAATGTAGATTGTTACATGTTTTCCCATACCATTTCCATGCCATACTCAGTCAGTACGAAAAACACCCAATTTTATCTCAAATATATTTCAATGCATATTGTTATCAGCATCATATATATAATATACATTTTAAAAGAGTGTTTTAGTAGATTTCGAAACATTAATTTCATATTATTTATATATGAATAGTGGTAGTAGATAGTTCGTCAAGGACTTATAAGTATTTGAGTTAAATAAAAAATAAGGATTATAATTCGATTTTTAGTACTAAATATAACTCCAGTATTTATGGTACTAAAATAACTGCAGTATGTAATACTCATTGAGACTCCCAAACTTAGGTCTGTAGTCATCTTGAGGTTTTGTGTATATTTATATAGAATATTTATCGTATTACCGGCCCCTCTACTCGGAGACCTCATTTTTTATCCCGGAAACCTGCGTAATAGATAAAAAAAATAAAATTCAGTTGAAATTAGTCGCCTCTAAGACGGGAGAAGGCATAGTTGCGTGATTCTTTTTGGTAGAGATGATAAAAGTCCACTGCAGAATTTGATCTCTCACTTCCAAGTGAAGTACTGCCGTCTATGTGAAAACGAATAAATAGTCTGGACATGACAGTTAAATTTGTCAAGGACTTAAAGTTTTTGAGTTAAATGAAAAAAAAAAATAAGGATTAGAATTCGATTTTTGAGATTTGAACGATAATTATATTTCAACAGCGATATTATGTATGAGATTAGTTCTTGGTACACAGATCGTTTATTGTATCAAGTGAGATTTAAAAATATATAAAATATAAAAATAGTTTCACCCAAAGTTCGCAATGGATAATAAAACTCATATTTTTATTCGATTTTTGCGCTTTTATTACAATTTGATTTGGTCTGTTATTGTATTCGAGAAGTGGCATAACTTTAGGACAATACAACAACATAAGTTTATACGTAATTGAAGACATTTTGCAACTAGATATTTACTCGACATCATTACACAAACATTTAATTACATCATATTGTATCAGATACAAAATAACGAAGAAGAAAATAAAACATTCCTTGCATTTAAAGAAACCAACATTTCTCTCATTTTCTTGTCATACATTCCACGAAAATAGTAATGTTTTCATTTACTAATATTTGTTTCTAAACACTGTGTGTATGTTCTAACATGCACAGATTTAATAACATAAATTAATAAACCTTTCTCTCAATATATCACTAAAATGTACCTATAGCTTTGTGGCTGGTGTTATATCACGAGAGAAATTGCCCGCTTTTGAGCGTATGTTATGGCGTGCCTGCCGCGGTAATGTTTTCTTGCGTCAAGCCATGATTGAATCACCATTGGAGGATCCATCAAATGTAAGTCACCAAGTCTAATATTTGGCGACTTTTATAGAAATATTTTTGGTTATGAAATAATTTCATTTCTTTTCTTTCTTTCTTCAGGGCGATCAAGTCTACAAATCCGTTTTCATCATCTTCTTCCAAGGTGATCAATTGAAGACACGTGTCAAGAAAATCTGTGAAGGCTTCAGGGCAACACTTTATCCTTGCCCGGAGGCCCCAGCAGATCGTCGTGAAATGGCAATGGGTGTCATGACACGCATTGAAGATCTTAACACGGTCTTGGGACAAACTCAAGATCATCGTCATCGCGTTTTGGTGGCTGCCGCTAAAAACCTGAAAAATTGGTTTGTCAAGGTTCGCAAAATCAAGGCCATTTACCATACCTTGAACCTGTTCAATTTGGATGTAACACAAAAGTGTTTGATTGCCGAATGTTGGGTGCCGGTACTGGACATTGAGACTATTCAGCTGGCATTGCGCCGTGGTACCGAGAGATCGGGTTCTTCTGTACCGCCTATTTTGAATCGCATGCAGACATTTGAAAATCCCCCAACCTATAATCGCACCAATAAATTTACCAAAGCATTTCAGGCTCTAATCGATGCCTATGGTGTAGCCACCTATCGTGAAATGAATCCGGCTCCATACACTATAATTACTTTCCCATTTTTGTTTGCTGTCATGTTCGGCGATTTGGGTCACGGTGCCATTATGGCCCTATTCGGCCTCTGGATGATACGTAAGGAGAAAGGATTGGCAGCACAAAAAACCGATAATGAAATTTGGAATATATTCTTTGGTGGCCGTTATATAATCTTCTTGATGGGTGTATTTTCCATGTACACGGGCCTTATTTACAATGATATATTCTCGAAATCCCTCAACATATTTGGCTCACATTGGGAGGTGAACTATAACAAGTCCACGGTATTGGAAAATAAATATCTACAACTGAATCCGGAGACAAGTGATTATCTTGGTACACCATATCCCTTTGGCATGGACCCAATATGGCAAGTGGCCGGAGCTAATAAAATTATATTCCAGAATGCTTATAAAATGAAGATTTCCATTATATTTGGTGTGATCCATATGATCTTTGGTGTTGCAATGTCCTATCACAACCACACCTATTTCAAGAATCGTTTGTCATTGATCTTTGAGTTCATTCCGCAATTGATTTTCCTGTTGTTTTTGTTCTTCTACATGGTTTTGTTGATGTTTATTAAATGGAATCGTTATGCTGCTACCAATAAACGTACGTTTCGATTTAATGTCACTCCGATGAATGAGAGAAGGATTACATTTAGTTTGTTTTTATCATTTACAGCACCTTATTCGGCTTCTTGTGCTCCATCGATTTTGATTACATTTATTGATATGGTCTTGTTTAATACTCCGAAACCGGTTCCCGAAGGTTGTAATGTTTATATGTTTGGCGGTCAGCACTTCTTCCAAGTGGTTTTTGTTCTTGTGGCATTGGCCTGTATTCCTGTAATGCTTTTGGGTAAACCCTTGCAGATAATGAAACAACGCAAACATGCTAATGTAAGTAAGATTGATGAAATTATTGCGTTTTTTTTTTTCATTTTTCTATGCATTACAGTTCATCCGCACACATCAATTGTTCATTCATGTCACTCATTTTCTAAAAAACAATGATTACTTTTATTAAATGTTAATATTCGTTTTTAAAATTTCTTTATTCAATTTAAATTTCCTAAATATTGTATAACACATACACTAACAGGAGGAGGTTAGTTATTTTGATATATTCTAGTATTGTGTGCAGATTATTCTAATTAACTTACAAATTATATTTATGTATATGTTTTTTATGTTTGTAATACAACTCTATATTTTGTACTTTAGGTCCAACCCATAACTGGTAGTGATGCTGAAGTTGGTATGTCTAATGGTCAACCAGCTGGTCATGGTGCCGGCGGCCATCATGATGAGGAAGAGATGTCCGAAATATTTATTCATCAAGGCATTCATACCATTGAATATGTCCTGGGCTCTGTTTCACATACTGCATCGTATTTGCGTTTGTGGGCATTGTCATTGGCTCATGCTCGTAAGTATACAATTTAAATTTTTTCATTCCCATTCACCCGGAGACCTTTGGCTCATTTTGTTTATTCCGAAAAAAATAAAATTCATTTGAAGTTAGTCGTTTCTAAGAAGGGAAAACGATCGAAAATATATTCTGGACATATATGTACATGCTTTGCTGTCGATAATTTACAGTCTTTTTTTAATTTATGACTTCACTCCCCTTCTTTCATTTTCCTTTTTTATGATTGTCTTCAGGGCAAACACATGGACCTCTGGTGTTCAAGTGAAGCTATTCTGACAGCCGTGCTTCTTTTAACATAAACAAGTGCTGTAACATTTTTGGAAAAGCTATGAATGATGATATGATCTATTTCAGAGTGGAATGTTAGAGTATACATCTTAGGTTCTGCATCTAGTAACTACCAGTATCCTCGCAATATATTTCATCAATTCTGTGATTAACAGACTTATCAATTTGTAAATCAGTCGACTGTGAGCCACATCGAACGTGTCTTGTCAACAGCTCATTGTCTTTGTTGTTATCATGACCGGTAACACTTAGAGTAATGAATTGCTTTCGAATTCATAGCATTATAGCTTGTGTTGAAACCGCTTCTACATATTTCTATATATTTCTAAACAGTTCGGAGGTGGTTAGTTAGGTGGTTAGAATTTGAAATAAGCATGCCCATTATGCCATGTACAGACGAGCGTTGTTCGCTCTCGCATTCGTTGTTCGACCCTTAATTATGAAGTAATTACTTAGTTCCCCACACAAAATTTTCTAAGCGAACACCGGCTTTTGTACATTGTTCAATTCGAATCACTCTCTGAATATAGAAGAATTTTGTCCCATCCCTAACAATTGAGAGAATTTATCGAAAATAAATTAATTTTGACAGCATGAAAATATTTATAAAATTTTTAAACTTTTTCAGTAAAATTGAAAATGATGAATGAAAAGTAAAAAATGTTTTAGTTTTTATATATGTAGAAGGAAGTAAATTTTGTAATCTACATAATGCAATATGTATTTCTTCCTCTTTGGTTCTAATTAGCGTACAAAACGAGAAACAAATGTGGGGAAATCCAAACAAAAAATTCTCCAATTTTTTTTATGTGACATCTGAATTGAGAAAATATGAAAATATATTTAAACAACAATATTTTCAGAAAAAATGGAAAACATGAATTAAAAGTAAATAGATATGGGTTCATACTATAGTCAGGAGAAAGAGAATTATTTTTTTCTATTTAGATCCATATGTGATTCACGCAAATATGTTACAATTTCGGTGTAAAAAAAGGAAAAAAAAGTTTGAAATAAAAAACTCTGATGACATGAATTAAGAATAGTGTTGTATGAACGGGTTAATTCATGTACGTAATTCTGAGAGCGAACTACGTTGTTCGGACGCCCGTCAGAACATGGCATTACATATTTGGCTTGTCGAAGGTTTCTGTGAGGTAGAATATGCTAGGATGTTTTCCGGACTAAGATAAAAAATTAGTTTGGGCTTCCTCGTGGTAATTTTTGTAAGATAACGTCTAACGTATGCACAGAACTCAGACTTTTACTATATTTTTTCTCCAGCTGTTTTAGATTCTTTGGATTATTTAAAAAAAAGTTTTAATATTTTATGCACTTTATCCATTTGCGACCCATTAATATATTGTTATTCTACCCTTTTTAGAACTTGCTGAGGTCTTATGGAATATGGTATTGTCGATTGGTTTGAAACAAGAGGGCTGGTTCGGAGGCATTATGCTAACAATTGTATTTGCTTTCTGGGCTATTTTGACCGTTGGCATCTTAGTGTTGATGGAAGGCTTGTCCGCATTTTTACATACCTTACGTTTGCATTGGTAAGTCGTCGATATCATCGACTATTATGACATATCAAAGCATTTAAAATATATATTTGTTTTCATCTATTATTTTAGGGTTGAATTCCAAAGTAAATTTTACCAAGGAACTGGCTATGCATTCCAACCATTCTCATTCGATGCTATCATTGAAAATGGCGGTGCTGCCAGCTCAGCAGAAAATGAGTAAATTATTAACACCGATAAACAAATAATAAAAATAATCCAAATTTAAACAATACTTATTATATATTATACAAAAAGAAAGAAAAACCCCCAACCTACACCCATATACAATACATATATATGATTATTAATATTATGATATATACCAAACTTTGAGTCTCATATATAATCTTCAGTCTAAAATTTAAACAAAAACAAAAAATATATATATTCAATGAATTTATTACAAATACATACATGAATTTATAGTAGCTAAATAAATGAAAACACAAACTCTTAATGTTAAATGTTTACTTCATCATATAACAATAACACATTTATATATTATATATTTATGGTATCTATTGTAGACGTATTGTACTCGTATTTATCTTAAACAACAACAACAACATCGTATATGCATAAATAATTTCATAGTATACATCATGGATTCACAGATATTTCCTGTATTGTTTGCAAACAAATAAATAATAAAATAAAAACAACAACAACATAAAATCATATAAAATAAATAAATCATCCCAATATCGAAAATGGCGCATAGCATGAGATTACTAAGGGTAACTAGTTAAAACAATTTACACATAAAAAACATTTAATTATAGTTATAACTTAAGTGGAGCAAAATAAAAGTTTTCAAATTAAATAGAAAAATTAAATTAAATTAAAAGTTATAGTTCAATAATAATTTCACATATGCGAAATACAATAACCAACAATACTACAAACTAAAACAATCATAATTATTAAATTAAATAATTATTAAACAAAATAATAATTTTACTCTATTCTACCTATATTAACAAATCCAATGACAGAAATAACCAATACATTTATTTAATTATATATAAACTCTAATAAATTTATATTATATAATTGTTTCATGACATTGCACGTATGATGAAATACTTGACAGTATGTAGTAAATGTTGCTTTCCAAAAAAAAAAAAAACAAATCTATAATAAAAATGCTTTAATAATGCTTGGAATAGTAACTATTCCTTAAACAAAGCACACCAAATGATTGTGTTTTTCTTTTAGGTTTAATAGAGGGATGGGTAGTCATTCATATTTAAGTATTTAATCAATATATCGATGATCATATTCTTGATATATATTGAATATTAAAATAAGCGTTGAATTGACAAAAGTATTCGTCCAGCGAATGTCACATCAGCTCATTGTGTAGAAACCGTAGTACTGCTACAACAGTTACACAAAAACGATCCAAAACTGCTACTACAGTAAAAATTACACAAAAGACAAAGCGGGTCCACATGGCAACCACTTTGGCAGATATGGGCGAGGGGTTTGGTTTTTTTTTCTTTGATTTCTCTTTTGTGTGCAATAGGATGTGATGTCTCTCTTCGCATATTCTGCAATTTCCCGGCGCCTAGACAGTTTAGGAAGTACTTCTACACCCGTGCTGAATATGCCTTATCCTTCTGTGGGAGACGTTTAAATAACAGCTCTACACAATGGGCTGTGGTGACAGACGTTGGTGAATGGTCTGCTGGTTATTGTTGGTAGGTACATATTGTTACCTTTTCGATGAGTCCGGCTTATGAATGTAAGTTCTACGTTTGTCATTCCGTTCGAAATATTCACCAGAACAAATTTGTAATAAAAAACAGTTCTTCTGTTAGGTATTGGAAATGGGATATGTCGGTTCATGCTTCGGTACATGTGCTCTTATTACTAAAATGTTTCAATAGCTGTGCTGTTTACTCGATATTTCGTAACAATTGTTACTAATGGTCTGTTCCAGCACGTTTTTAATAGTAAATCTAGTAAAAGGGAAACATTTCAATATTCGATAATTTGATACTAGAAAAATTGTCAACATATTAGACCTAGATTGGTTTGATTTGCTTGACGAATTTCTACCTTTTTATACTGATTGCAACAACAATATATTTTTTAATACTTCCTGAGATATGAATCGAAGAAAACCCCCTAATTATTAAATGTTCGAAACATTTTCAAAAGTTTCTAAGTGATAGTTTTAAAATATTTAAGAAAAAGATGGGAAATTTTAGAAATCCATATCTAAGGACGTACTGGGGGGTTACTCTGTATTGCGATGCGTAAGAAAAATTGTATCGCATCGCGTAATTGGTACTCTCTAATTCGTTTTCGTATCTCCTTTCGCATCTACTTTACGCAAATGTGGCATCACCGCAATCTGTAATACGAAAACGCATGTCAAACTCGTTCGTTAAACGCAAATATCTTGCGTTAACAAAATAGCAAACGCAAATGAAGCGAAACATGTAAATAAGCACAATTAAAGTTTTTATTTATATCTAAATTGATAATTATAGTTACAGTTGACGACTCAGCACCGTCAGTTCCAAACTTTAGTAGATTTTATGGTGCAACACAGCGATTTGGCAAGTGGCCAGTTGCAGAGTTCAAATGCGAAACGACGCGCCAAAAAATTGTAGAGAAAACAGGATGATGACCTTAATTCAGATGGACCTCCTGTAAGAGATGTCGCTGGTTGGAAAAAAGTAATGTTTTATATTTTATATAAAAAATGTGAAACTATGTGTGCATATTTACAGGTTGGTGTTGATAACCACCTTGTCCAAGCAATTTCAAAGCAGCGGCCACTTTTATTGGAGTTGGAATTGCTGTGGATCCATTTGGAACGACGAGGTCATTTTTAATAGCGTTTATTAAAAACATAAACGCATCTTTATTGAGACGAACATTTTGTACAAATTTATAAAAATTAAATATTTGATAACGTTTGTCACATTATTCGTACTTCTATTTTCATACCCGTTCACTTAGGTAGAGTATATTTGATCGATCTCTTAAAATTCTTTTTTTAGTTGGTTCATCATTTTTGTTTTTAAAAAAACACTCGTACCACATAAAAATATGTTTTTATTAACAATTTTTTGACGTTTTCTTTTGTCATTCTTCGTTATTGTTTACTTTGTGGTGCTAGTGTTGCCCTATTTTCGATTTATTTTGCGAATGCGTTTGCGTGAGCGATACAGAGTACCAAATTGCACTCTTAACGCATTTAGCTTTCGCATCGCACTGGCTTTCGCAACGCAATACAGAGTAACCCCCCTGATGTCTAACCAAAAAATATATTTTAATAGATATAAATAATGAGAGGAACCAACAATTTTGATACGAGATATAAAGAAGTTCTCCATCTTTATGACTTTTTTAATTGGATTCTGCAACATTTTAATAAAATCAGATCATTATACCGTTCAAATATAAGGATATCTCTGTCCTTTAACATATTGGATAAATACCCTTAAATGGAACCCAAATCAAACAAACCGTAGTAGGTATATTAAATTCAATTATTTATTTAATTGACTAATAAATTATCCATAAATTCAACAAATTTGTCCATATTCTTCCCCGGCTCATAGGTATTTTGTTTGTCCACAAATACACTTTCCAATGTCGATTTCAATTCCGTGACGGTACAACACTGCAGATAACCTTCCTTTTTCATGTGTAACGCCAATTCCTGTTGATGATTGTTCATCAATTGATCGTTGATAACCAACACACCAAGTTTACGAGCCGTTAATATGTCCAAGCATGTTCCGGCTCCAGCATGTCCCACCACTAAATCTGAGTTTATAATATCCACACGTTTGGGTTCGATTTTAAAATCATATTGTTCCACTTGTATGCCATGTTGTTGGACAATAGCTGCCTCGTCAACTTTGTTACCTTTGCCCACTTGTAGGATAAGTTTTTTGCAACCTTTCTTTTTAAGGATTTTGAGAATGTCATCGCTCGTCATTTCCCTGATGAGGGAATCGAATTTTGTGCTACCCACAGTAACATAGACAGTTGTAATTGGGGGTGTCATATTTTTTGGAATGGTTATTAAAATTATTAAGATATTTAGATCCGTTTTTTTAATGTTCTATGCTGGCCAACGTCTTCCCATCCAATCCTTCCTTATCCGAATATGTGACCAAAATTAAAAACGTCCCAGGTTCTTTTGGAATAAAAGGGGAAACAAAACGGGTGGGGGATGCATGTTTAGAACGAGACCTGGAAGAGAGTCAATCAGCTGATCGTCTAGGTAGAAAATTAAAATCAGCTGATTATTTATTTTGAATGCTGTGGCAACATTGTTTCCCCCTTTTCAATATTTACAGACGTTATTATTTGAATTGTAGAATTGGTAACACATTATTTTCTTTCTTCAGTTTTTGATAATGGTCCAAACCATGGCTCATTATTAGGTTTATCTTGAAAATGTCGCGCAAGAAAAAGTTATGAGCATAAGCATTTTCAAAATTTAAACAATTTATTTCATGAAAATTAATATATTTTCGTGATCGGTAATGCAAGACCTTTTCGAGATAAAAAATTCAATATTTATATATTTATACATGCATAGAATCTGAAGCTGTTTGTTTAAAAGTCCGGAATAATAAAAAAAATAAAAGAATTTCTGTGATTAAAAAAAAAAACAGTAAAGAATGTAGTAAAGTCGAACGGGGCCGACTATATGATACCCTTCACCCTTTACTTTGGTTTTATTAAACAGGTGCATCCTAACTGACGTCGCATTTTTATCTAAATCAATCAGGACCTAATTTAGTAATCTGTGCAAAATTTTGTCTCAATCGAAAAAAATATTGGCAGTATGGTACTCCATTTACATAAAATCTGAATCGATTTCAACAAAACTTGGCATTTATCTTAACCTTATCTTAACCTAATTCAGTACTGTGTGCAAAATTTTGTCTCAATCGAACCAGTATTGGGAGTTTGGTGAACCAATAAGGTAAAATCGGACCAAACTATGTATAGGAGCTATACCTAAATCTCAAGCGATTTTCTCCAATTTCAATAGGGTTCATCCTTGGGCCAATTAAGTGACCTGTGCTAAATTTCATCCAAATCGGATCATAAATGTGAGCTGTACTTTGCTCACAAAAATACATGAAAGATTCAAACTAAAAATAGGTTTCCTATTCCTATATAATTTCAGTTTTGAATACCCTTCATAACCATGATATTTGAATTAGGAATAAAACTATGGACATGAATTCCCAATATTCCGACCTTGATTTTTTTGCATTCGGAATGACCCGCATATTACTCATCATTATATCGGTTATCTTCATCACATTTTCCCCCAATTCGACGCTTCATTGAAATTTCGAGGGTTTCCTTTGTGGTTAAAACACAATACAACATACATCAAACACACATGTTTGATACAACACATGCATCATTTTATGTTGTGTTATGTTCGTTCGTTCCATGTGCAAAACATTTTGAAATAGGGAATTCATTCTTAGACAATGTTTTTTGAAATCAAAATGTGATTAAAGTAAAAAAAAAATTAAATTAATTTTTAACTTGTAGGTTATTTTATCGATATAAGCTACACTGTAATATACATTCAATTTTAATAAAAAAATATTCATTATATGGACATCCCTACACAACATGTATGTTTGGTTACTTGATGTTGCAACACGAAGTTAGTTACAGTAGGGGATATTTGTAGATGCAACAAATTCAGAGAATTAGGCCGTTCCATTTTTTGGGACAGACCATCAGTAATCAGACAGGATTATTTCATAAACATCAATTTTTGCAAAACCTAAAAAAAGTATTTTCGAAAACTAAATCACTTTTTAATTTTATTCTGATTCTATGTTGATTTATCAGTATCTGCCTGTTAGAACACGCAATATATAATAAGAGCTTTAAAAATTGGCACATACTTCTAATACTTCCCCAATAAAAAGGGGTCAATAACTTATAGTCGAGTAACCGATTTCATCCAAATTTTGCGCGTCGTAATATTTCTTCTAAAATTTAACAAATTCCGAAGATTGGGTATATCGGTACACTTCTTATTCTGGTACCTCTTCTACAAAATGGTCGAAATATCATGCGAACGAAATATACAATTTGATCCAAAATTATCTGTACCAAACCTATACCATGTCTAAATCACATCTTTTCACTTCTTCTGATACCTAAATTTGTAAGTCTCATCGCTCAAATGCCAAATTGACCCGAACTTAGCACATATACGGGAGAGAATTTGGTGAGAATTTTCCAGAAAAAAGGTTATTTGTGATGGAATTCAAGCGTGAAATTGTAATTTCTTTATATTTGGCTGAAAACTACAATTGGCTATCGTTAGAGTACTCCAACATTTAAATGTGAATAAATCTTTTGTCTCGTACCATCGCTCGTTACCGTAACACTGGAAGCGTATCCCGACGTTAAGGAAGTGGACCGAAGAAAACAGCAACTTCAGCAGAAATTGTTCGAAAGTAAAGAAGCGACTTGATCGAAACCCTCGTCGCAGTGGGCGAAAAATTGCTCGTGAGCTTAACATATCGCACATATATGAAAATGGGCTCGGGATAAAGCTTACACCGCAACAGAAAAAACTTACACCGCAACAGAAAGAAAATAGTCTCAAAAGAACTAAAGTGTTGCTTTGCGGATTTCTCTGATGAGAAAACATTCTTTGTCCCGTAGTTTGTAAACAAACAAAATGACCGTGTTTACTTGCCAAAGAGGTCAGTCGGAAATGTGCACTTTCGGTTGGACACCAGAACTCAAGCGCCGTCCATCGTGATGGTTTGGGCCACCCTAACAGCGATGATCGCTCTCGGCTCGTATTAATCGACCGTGGCATCAGAAGAACTGCCAAATATTATCGCAAAAATATTCTGAAGGGTGTATTAAAGCCTTGGGCACGCAAACATTTTGACCCAAGACCTTGGACATTTAAACAGGACTCAGCACCTTCGCACTCAGCACGCGCCACCCAAGTATGGTTACAAAATGAGGTTACTCGCTTCATTTCCAGCGCACAATGGCCACCAAAATCTCCGGATACCAATCCATTGGACTATTATGTCTGGAGTATTTAGGGAAGCAAGGTTGGCACTAAAAAAAAAATACCAAAGTGTCTATTACCTCGATTTACGATTTTAGCATACGGCCATTTTATTAATTCAAATCTTACTTCTATAACAGGTTAAACGGCTTAAACCTATATTACCTCATAACTTATCATGCACTTATTCAGCGCCTACTTTACCCTTAACAATAAGTGTCTCGGCTTAGCAGAAGACGCAACCAACTCACTAAGACTATGCCCAACGGCACCACCTACAAACTATGCCTCGAAAGATAGAATAATTAAAAAAGGGCTAGTGTCTAGTACCTCAAGCAAGCGCTTCGCCGGGAATGGGCCAAAATACCGCAGAGCAACATTTGATGTTATTTCCGACATTTTTTTCTTTTATTCAATAAAATTAAAAAAAATGTAAAAATTATGGCGTTTGACTTTGTTACGGTGTTTTTTATCTCACCCGTATATTAAAAAATCCGACCATGCCCACATTTTTTATCTACGTCAAGAAATGTATGTAAGGGTGCTGTAATCTACCCGAAAATAAAGTATAATACAATTAAAATCCGTTAATTCTGAAGTTGTCGGTATACCAGTTTTCTTAACCAAATCGTGGACTCGGGGTCACGGACGATATTATCCAAAGAAATTACAAATTTAATAAACGTATTGATTAACATATTTTACTACTGTATTTTTCTAACATTTCTCCCATTGTGCCGCCCATCTCTGGAAGAGCTTCATTGATGATGTCGTGGTTCTTGGCAATTTTTTCTGCCATCAGTTGTTTGCCGGCCTTTGAATAAAACGGTTCGTTTTCGGACAAAATAGAAAACAAAACCAAAGTGTGTGTGATAGCAATTCAAGTTCTTGGTGGTCCATCCATCTGTTGTCGATTTTGTCGTATTGGCGGAATTTCTGAACGAACGTTGTTTTCCTAATATTCGCTGTCTGCTGAAAGTGTGATAAACGCATTTTGTGGAATCCAAGTGTATGTATGTGCGGTCAGTTACTGTTGTTGTATATTTGTTGTGTGATGTTGTTGGCTATGAAATGAAATTTTTGAGTGTTAAAACAAACAACAATCGTCCGTCCATTCAGTCACATTTATGCGATGCGAAACTTAACAGACTCGATGTTGTCTCGCCCCCCGTCTCAATCTCATAGAAGATAAAATCGTACTCTGGCGCACACAACACTGAACACATTATTCTCACGTCCAGTAATAATAAAAAAAAAACAAAAAGAAAACTTAAAAAACAACAACAAACAGAAAAAAACAAAAGTAATAAAAAACAAATAATATAAGGCTAGTCGGCGCTGCTGCTGATTCGGCTACGCTGCTCCAATGGCTCTTTTAGTGGTTGTGAATGATGTCCATTGTATTAGGTGCTGGGTGGAAGACTGATGGTTGGATGGATGCTGTGGCACCCACCGGCAGATGCGTTGCCGCTCCCACTCTTTTAATCATTTGTTTACATTCTCGGACAGTGGTTGCTTGGTCGGTCGTTCGGTCGATTGGTTAGTTTGCTGGTGGCGTTCGTTCAACGACGCTGATGATGTTGATAATAATGATGATAGCGTAAATAGGGTAGTAGTATTGTTGGTGGAGCGCTTTGATTCAATTACCTTGCGGCCAAACGCAGCCGTTGCTTGTCAGCAGTGTTCGATGTTGTTGTTTGGTATTATTCTTATTTGTCTTATTTGTACTTGGCGTTAACACATTTTTTCCGCTGGAGGCAGTCCGATGTTGCTGATTGTGGTGACGATGGATGGATGAATGTGCTGATTGTGATTATTTCACAGGTTTATTCGCGCACTACGTCCGCGGGGTCTGTCAGTAATGACATAAATTTAATAAGATTCAATCTGTGAAAAGTGTTGATGACTTTTTAATTTTCCACCATAAATCGTCTGACCTACACGATTTATGGTGGCCAAGCCAAGCAACCATCCGAACAAAC